GCCACGATGGTCTCAATCTCCTGACCTTGTGATCCGCCCATCTCAGCCTCCTAAAGTGCTAGGATTACAGGCATAAGCCACTGTATCCGGCCAACTTTTTAAATTATTTGTATAGACAGGGTCTCTCTATAGTGCCAAGGCTGGTCTCAAACTTCTGGCCTCAAGCAATTCTCCTGCCTCAGCATCCCAAAATGGTGGGATTACAGGTGTGAGCCACAGCACCTGGTCTCCTTAATCCTTTTTTTTTTTCTTTTTTTTTTTTTTTTTGAGACGGAGTTTTGCTCTTGTTACCCAGGCTGGAGTGCAATGGCGTGATCTCAGCTCACTGCAACCTCCGCCTCCTGGGTTCAAGCAATTCTCCCACCTCAGCCTCCTGAGTAGCTGGGATTACAGGCACACGCCACCATGCCCAGCTAATTTTTTGTATTTTTAGTAGAGATGGGGTTTCACCATGTTGACCAGGATGGTCTCATCTCTTGACCTCATGATCCACCCGCCTCGGCCTCCCAAAGTGCTAGTATTACAGGCTTGAGCCACTACACCTGGCTTTTTTTTTTTTTTTTTAAAGACGGGGTTTCACCATGTTAGTCAGGCTGGTCTTGAACCCCCGACCTCAGGTGATCCACCTGCCTTGACCTCCAAAGTGCTTGGATTACAGACATGAGCCACTACATCCGGCCATCAGTTTTTTTTTTTTTTTTTTTTTTTTTGAGAGAGTCTCGCTCTGTTGCTTAGGCTGGAGTACAGTGGTGCGATCTTGGCTCACTGCAACCTCTGCCTCTCGGGTTCAAGCAATTCTCCTGCCTCAGTCTCCCAAGTAGCTGGGACTACTGGCGCGTGTCACCACACCTGGCTAATTTTTGTATTTTTAGTAGAGTCGGGGTTTCACCATGTTGGTTAGGCTGGTCTCGAACTCCTGACCTCAAGTGATCTGCCTGCCTTGGCCTCCCAAAATGCTGGGATTACAGGCATGAGCCACTGTGCCAGCTGCTTCATAAATTTTCTTATTTATTTATTTATTTAAATGGGGTTTCACCATGTTGGTTAGGCTGGTCTTGAACTCCCAACCTGAGGTGATCCACCCGCCTTGGCCTCCAAAGTGCTTGGATTACAGGCGTGAGCCACCACACCCGGCCTCATAAATTTTCTTAAGTGAGCATCTACTTTGTTCTAATCTCTGGGGATACAGCAGTGAACATGACAGAAAACCCCTCCTGGGTCTGACATTCTAACGGAAGAGAGAGGAAAAAAAAAAAGTAAATAAATGAACTGAATGATTTCCAGTTTCAGTAAGTGCTGTTGAAGACCACAGATCAGGGAGAGGAACTGGGAGTGACGAGGGGTCCTTTTGAGCAGGTGGTCAGGGAGGGCGTCTCTGAGGAGATGGCCTTGAGCTGAGATCTGAAGGAGGAAGAGGAGCCAAGTGAAGAGCCCCTAACACACTAGGGGATCAATATATATTAATTCAACCTTCACAATAACTGTGTAAGTTAGTCATTCCTTTTTACCCATGAAGAGACAGGCCCAGAGAGGTTAAGCAGCTTGCCTAAAGTCTCACAGCTGATAAGTAGAGGGGTAGGAATAGCAACAGCAACAGCATGGAGGCTACGGTGGCCTGGGCTCTTTCCAGATCTGAGTGTGGAGTCCATGGGCAGGGAAGATGGTTTCTTTCTTTCTTTTTTAATAGAGGCAAGGTCTTGCTATATTGTTCATGCCAGTCTCAAACGCCTGGGCTCAAGCAATCCTCCTGCCTTGGCCTCCCAAAGTGCTGGGATTACAGGTGTGAGCCACTGTGCCGGACCTGGTCTATGGTTTCTGGTTTCCCTGTTCAGGAGCCTGGGTCTAAACTGACAATCAGTTGGGAGATAAGCTTGTCGAGAGAAGGCTTTCAGGTACTCAAGACAAATCTCCAAACCCTTTGAGAGAGAGAGGAAAGGTGATCCACCCGCCTCAGCATCCCAAAATGCTGGGATTACAGGCGTGAGCCACAGGGCCTGGCCAAGACTTTCATTTTTTTTTAAAAAAAGGGAGGCTGGGTATGGTGGTTCATGCCTCTAATTCCAGCATTTTGGGAGGCCAAGGTGGGTAGATCACAAGGTCAGGAGATTGAGATCAACCTAGTCAACATGGTGAAACCCTGTCTCTACTAAATACAAAAAAACGCCGGGCGCGGTGGCTCAAGCCTGTAATCCCAGCACTTTGGGAGGCCGAGGCGGGTGGATCACGAGGTCAAGAGATCGAGACCATCCTGGTCAACATGGTGAAACCCCCATCTCTACTAAAAATACAAAAAATTAGCTGGGCATGGTGGCACGTGCCTGTAATCCCAGCTACTCAGGAGGCTGAGGCAGGAGAATTGCTTGAACCCAGGAGGCGGAGGTTGCGGTGAGCCGAGATCACGCCATTGCACTCCAGCCTGGGTAACAAGAGCGAAACTCCGTCTCAAAAAAAAAAAAAAAACTAGCAGGGCATAGTAGTGTGCGCCTGTAGTCCCAGCTACTCAGGAGGTTGAGGCAGGGGAATTGCTTGAACTCGGGAGGCGGAGGTTGCAATGAGCTAAGATTGTGCCACTGCACTCAGCCTGGCAAGAGAGTGAGACTCTGTCTCAAAAAACAACAGCCCAGGCACAGTGGCTCAAGCCTGTGATCCCAGCAGTCTGGGAGGCGGAGGCAGGCGGATCACCTGAGGCCAGGAGTTCGAGACCAGCCTGACCAACATGGAGAAACCCTGTCTCTACTAAAAATACAGAATTAGCCGGGCGTGGTGGCACATGCCTGTAATCCCAGCTACTTGGGAGGCTGAGGCAGGAGAACTGCTTGAACCTGGGAGGCAGAGGTTGCGGGGAGCCGAGATCGCACCATTGCATCCCAGTATGGGCAACAAGAACAAAACTCCATCTCAAAATAACAACAGCAACAAAAATAACAAAAGAAGCCCAGGTGAGGTGCACACCACTAAGCCTGAGAGCTGTCCACACTCCATGCTCACTTTCTACTCAGCTCTAGCCACTCTCCCCTAATTTTGCATCTTATGCTTTGGTCTCACTGGCACTCTCACTTCATTAGACCTCTGGGCCTTTGCACACACTACGCTTTTGCTTGAAATCCTTCAGTAGCTCCTGTTACTTTTTTGACAGGCCACTCTTTGCTGGGATCTGCAATGTACTGCATGTTCTGGCCCAGCTCACCTCAATCCACTAACTCAAGGATTGTACACCAGGCAAATTTCTCTCCTTGAAAGAGATCCCCATCCCCTTCACCTGGATCCCTCACATCTCAGCTCAAACAAAATTTCTCCCTAGCTGACCATATCCCTCCCCAGACCTGTGAGCACATTTATTAGATAAATGTGTTATTACATTTATCTAATAACATAACAGGATTGCCCCCTGGGTCTTTTTTTTTTTTTTTTTTTTTTTTTTTTTTTTTTGAGACTTTAAGTCTGGCTCTGTCACCCAGGTTGGAGTGCAGTAGCGCAATCTCAGCTCACTATAACCTCCACCTCCCAGGTTCAACAATTATCCTGCCTCAGGTGCCCGGCTAATTTTCTGTATTTTTAGCAGAGACAGGGTTTTGCCATGTTGGCCAGGCTCGTCTGTAACTCCTGACTTCAAGTAATCCACCTGCCTCAGCCTCCCAAAGTACTGAGATTACAGGTTTGAGCCACTGTGCCTGGCCACCTGGATCTGTTTTTATTCATCATTGCATTCCTTTGCTTAGCACAGGCAGGGGCTTATAAATACTTGCTGAATGAATAAGCCCAAACAAGCCGCTCAATATGCAGACAGGCCAAGACTGAGATAGATGACACCACTTACTTGTTGCAACACAAATGAAGAACTGGGGTCTTTTGATTCTACCCCAGCTCTTTCCATTAAACTTCCCCGATTCCTGTGTTCCCTTCTGTTCTTAGTGGAGATCTCAAAACTAATTCTAGATTCCTTGGCTGCCAAGGTCAGTGACCTATTCCTACTACTGAAACCCAGCTGGAGGCCCCTTGCTGTTTGATGTCACCGACAGAACATCCTTTATGAGCGTCACCACTGGCATCAGGAGGTTCTGGAGAAAGTGAAACCCTTCAACACCCTCAACCTGATGGTTGGCCACAAGAGTGACCTGGTGGCTGAGCACCGGGTAATACTACAGGGAAAGAAGCTGGCTGCCTCCTTGGGACAGTGCAACTTCAGCCAAGAACAACGGTAACAATAGCACAGCCTTTGAGGTGCTCACTCAGTATATCTGTGAGGCTGTGAAGAGGGGGACATGAGATCTAACCCAGGGTGAGAGGGAGTTTTGAAAAGCAGGGTCCCTATAACTCGATCAAAACAGATGCAGGTGGGCAAAAAAAAGAAAAAAGAAAAGAAAAGCAGGGTCCCATCCCAGGCCAAGCTTCAGGACTCAAGAGGACCAAAGCAGAAGGTGGCTGTGCCTGTGCTAGTGACTCCTGGGTAGGATAGCCATGCTCCCTAGAGCCCACAGAACTCTCACAATCCACAAGGGCCATGCTGGGCCCAGGACAGGACAATGCTAGGTACCACTGAAGGACATGACCCTGAGGTCTAGAAGGGGCCTGGTTTCCTCTGCACAATGGTGAAAACACCAGGATCAAAGATACCAGCAACTACGAAGAGAACCTGCACAGCCAGGACTATTCCGAGGACAGGCCTACTTCCATCCTTTCTCAGGGCCAGGAATAAACACAGCTTTCTCCAGGTTACAGAAGGTCAAAAAGGGGTTTTAGGCACATAACACTGCCAAAATAAGGATGTCTCTTCAGTTCAGGGCCATAAGAGAAGGTCACCCTATTCAATTCTTATGACAGAGAAGCTGGGCTCAAACTCCTACTGATGTTATAGCCTCCCTTGGAGTAAAATAATGGAAAATCCCCGAGTTTTTCTGAAACACAGAAATGAATAATGGTGCTGCCACCTGCTGACTAGAGAGCTACAATCCAGGCTTGCTTGTCCTTACTTCTGGGATTTCAAAGGTACCCTGTCTTTTGATTAGTAACTTCTTTATTCTGGAAAAACAAATGAAAGTCATATTCATATAAACACTGACATTACAAAGTACAGGGAAAAGGGGAGAGGAGAAGGAAACAAAACCCTTTACAAATCCTGCTAATACTGTCTTACCCAAAAAGATCATAATGCTTTGTCCCATAGTCAGTCACTTATATAATAAAACACAAATAAAATCTTCTCTGGAAGATACACTGCTCCTCTTTGAGATGGCAGGGAAAAGGGACCAGAAGTTGGGGTAGGAGGCTTTATTCTTTTGGCAGATCCTCTCAGTCATTATAGATATTGCTGCACTGTTAATAAAAAATATATGCTTCTCTGTAAAGCATTAAAAAAAAAAAATCCATGGATGAGATGGCTGAGTTCTCAGCTCAAGTATCTCCAAATACATTGTTGTCCATTCCCTGACCTTTCCGTGTGTTATTTCTTGGTTGTTTTCCGGATCAATGCCATTCTCTGAAAGGAGAGAGAAATAAGTGATTTACAGCAGCAGCTGGAGTCAGGAGCTTTCTGGGAACATTCTGTGTGGCTAGCAGGCCTCATGGTCTACACTGTAGGCTGCAGCCCTCAGAGACCTGCAGTCACAAAGCGTCTCAGTAGATTCCTTCTAACTGGAAAGCAGTCTGCAAGGCCCCAAGAGATGTTTAGATGGGCTAGTGGACCCATTTCATCCATCAAACTGCTCTAGCCTAGCAGGATGGCAAAAAAGTTAAAAGCAGGAGAAAGTGACAGCTCTTGAGTTTTGGGGACTTAGAGGATAAGCTGACAAAGCATGTGTTTTCTTTCCTTTTTTTTTTTTTTTTTTAAAGATGGAATCTCGTTCTGTTGTCCAGGCTGGAATGCAGTGGAATGATCTCAGCTCACTGAAACCTCTGCCTCCCGAGTTCAAGCAATTCTCCTGCCTCAGCCTCCCCAAAGCACTAGGATTACAGGCATGAGCCACCATGCCTGGCCAAGCATGTGTCTTCTGGGGACCCCCAACACCAAGCTTTTCTCTGGTGATAGACACAATAAGGAAAGGGCCTCAATTTCAGAGTGAACTGACATTTCACACCTTGTGACCTGCAATGAAGGGAAACTGAAGACTAACAACTTCTACCACAACCCATCATGGAAACACTAAGATTACAGGTTTCATGATCTGAATTCTTTTTTTTTTTTTTTTTTTGAGACAGAGTTTCACTCTTGTTGCCTAGGCTGGAGTGCAATGGCGCGATCTTGGCTCACCGCAACCTCCGCCTCCTGGGTTCAGGCAATTCTCCTGCCTCAGCCTCCTGAGTAGCTGGGATTACAGGCACGTGCCACCATGCCCAGCTAATTTTTTTTTTGTATTTTTAGTAGAGACGGGGTTTCACCGTGTTGACCAGGATGGTCTCGATCTCTTGACCTCGTGATCCACCCGCCTCGGCCTCCCAAAGTGCTGGGATTACAGGCTTGAGCCACCGCGCCCGGCTGATCTGAATTCTTTTTTTTTTTTTTTTTTTTTTTGAGACGGAGTTTCACTCTTGTTACCCAGGCTGGAGTGCAATGGCGCAATCTCGGCTCACCGCAACCTCCGCCTCCTGGGTTCAGGCAATTCTCCTGTCTCAGCCTCCTGAGTAGCTGGGATTACAGGCACACGCCACTATGCCCAGCTAATTTTTTGTATTTTTCGTAGAGACGGGGTTTCACAATGTTGACCAGGATGGTCTCGATCTCTTGACCTCGTGATCCACCCACCTCAGCCTCCCAAAGTGCTGGGATTACAGGCTTGAGCCACCGCACCCGGCTGAATTCTTTTACTATTAACAGCCACAGGCCAAATTAATAACTTGCTTTGCTCATTCTTTTTGACCAAATTATCAATATTATAGTATTTGTTGACTAAATAAATAGGGCTGAAAAATGGTTAATTTGGGAGCGGAGCCAAAGTGGCATTTCATTGTTTGGAGGGATTCTCTTCTGAACAGTGCAATCCTTGCATTCAGGCAACTGGTGGCTTCCTTGTAGGGCTTGCTCCATGGGCTCTGCAAACACCTACTCCAGAGATACAAGGCTATGGCGAAGCAGGGGCACTCAACCAGGACTACCCAGTTGTGCCTGCCAAGCTTGGAAAAAGCTCATGTTTCAAATCAGAGTAGCCACTTAAATTAAGACAGAAAGGATAACAGTCTTGTCAGAGGGAGGCCAACACTGTTGGACTGACTGAAGATGGAGATGACTTGGTCCACAACAGAAGTGGTATTCTCACACTGACTCCTAGGTTCCTTGTTCATAGGGAACCAAAACAAAGAAAAACTGGGAGACAGGCCAGAATGTCTGGCACGGCAGCCTGGATACTACCTCTCAGCACAAGTACAGCACATTTCTGGTTTCTTTAACCTCCCCTCTTTTCATAGGGCCATATATGGTGGTGTGATCAGCAAGAATGAAGATTTCATTAAGAAGGCATGATGGGGTGAGCTCCATCCATATTAGAAGAACCCAGAATTAACAGCTTTAAGTGATATTCCTCAGAGTTAAAAGAAAAAACAGACTGCATGTGGGAACAGCACAGCACCAAGTCAGTATCTTACTGATCTCCTGGCAATCGCTGCTGCCTCTAGCCCTCTCTGACTCTTGATCCAGAAAGTGAAGCTTGCTGTGTGCGTGAAGTGAGACTCCCTAGAAGGTGGCTGTGTGTACTCACTCTGAGAGGTAGCTCAGTGAATCATTTCCTCACCTGTTTGTGAGCTTCCGTGGTGCAAGCTTTTTTGTAGGGTCGGATTTCTTCAGAGCCAAATCCTGGGATCCACATGTTCCACTGGCGCTCTGCAAGGAAGACATCAGCACAGAGATAAAGGTACCAAGAAGGCAGTACCAGGAATGCAATGTGACCCCCTTGGATCAGGAGGGATGAATGCAGGCATCTGGATACTAACTCCACAGAGGGATTCTATTACAAATGGGGAAATAAACATGGGTCCTCCAAGGTTTTTTTTTGAAGACAGGGTCTTTCTGCTCTGTCACCCACTGTGGAGTGCAGTGAGGAAATCTTGGCTCACTGCAGCCTTGACTGCCCTGGCTCATTTACCACAGGCTCATTTGCAAGGTTGAAGGGATTCTCCTGCCTCAGCCTTCTGAGTAGCTGGAATTACAGGTGCATGCTGCCACTCCTGGCTAATTTTTTTTTTTTCTTTTTTTTTTGGGACAGAGTCTCACTCTGTCACCCAGGATGGAGTGCAGTGGCTTGATCTTGGCTCACTGCAACTCTGCCGCCTGGGTTCAAGCGATTCTCTTGCCTCAGCCTCCTGAGTAGCTGGGATTACAAGCACCTGCCACCACACCCGGCTAATTTTTGTATTTTTAGTAGAGATGGGGTTTCACAATCTTTGTCAGGCTGGTCTTGAACTCCTGACCTTGTGATCCACCCACCCTGGCCTCCCAAAGTGCTGAGATTACAGGCGTGAGTCACCCCGCCCACTCCCAACTAATTTTTTATATTTTTAGTAGAAATGGGGTTTCACCATGTTAGCCAGGCTGATCTCCAACTCCTGACCTCAGGTGATCCACCCACCTTGGCCTCCCAAAGTACTGAGATTACAGGCATGAGCCACCACGCCCAGCCTTATATTTCTATTTTTTTTGTAGAGACGAGGTCTTGTTATGTTGTCCAGGCTGGTCTTGACTCCTTGGACTCAAGCAGATCCTCCTGCCTCAGCCTCCCAAAGTGTTGTACTGATATTACAGGCATCGGCCTCCATACCTGGCTTCTTCCAAGGTTTTATTTTGTTTTGTTTTTGAGACGGAGTCTCGCTCTGTTGCCCAGGCTGGAGTGCAGTGGCGCAATCTCAGCTCACTGCAACCTCCACCTTCCAAATTCAAGCAATTCTCTGCCTCAGCCTCCTGAGTAGCTGGGATTACAGGCAGCCACCACCAGGTCTGGCTAATTTTTTTGTATTTTTAGTAGAGACAGGGTTGCACCACCTTGGCCAGGCTGGTCTCAAACTCCTGACCTTGTGATCCACCCGCCTCAGTCTCCCAAAGTGCTGGGATTACAGGCGTAAGGCACCATGCTCAGCTGATCCTCCAAGGTTTTTAAAGAACAAATCAAGCTTCTTTTTTTTTTTTTTTTTTTTTGAGACGGAGTTTCGCTCTTGTTACCCAGGCTGGAGTGCAATGGCGCGATCTCGGCTCACCGCAACCTCCGCCTCCTGGGCTCAGGCAATTCTCCTGCCTCAGCCTCCTGAGTAGCTGGGATTACAGGCACGCGCCACCACGCCCAGCTAATTTTTTGTATTTTTAGTAGAGACAGGGTTTCACCATGTTGACCAGGATGGTCTCGATCTCTTGACCTCATGATCCACCTGCCTCGGCCTCCCAAAGTGCTGGGATTACAGGCTTGAGCCACCGCGCCCGGCCCAAATCAAGCTTCTTGCAAAGAAAAAGAGGTAGTCAAAGCTGTGAATGCTGAGCCCTTGGGTTTCCATGCAGCTTATCTAATCCATAGAAAATAAATATTTCTTTCTTCAGTTGTCTTATTCCTAAAACTCAAAGTAACCCCTCTCACACCTAAGGGACGTGAAGGCACTTCAAGCGTTCTGAAATTAAGAGCCAAAGCTGAGGTCTGCTGCTTCACTGAGCAGCTGTATGACACTGGGTCTGTTTCTTCATTTTTTATGTAGCCATAACAACAGTAATAACCACCTGAGAAGGTGATTGGGGCATTCAATGACATAATGCATGTGAAGTGTTCAGCCCAGAGCCTGCAATAAATAAATAGGTATGGATATAGATAGAGGTATGTCCACACCACAGTTCCATGCCCTGGTGCCCCTGGATATTATCCTCCTCCTAAGATTATCACAAGAAGTTCCCAGAGGATAGGGACTTTGTTTATTCCACTTAGTAACTGGCATGGCTGCTTGGCCCCCTAAACTCACATATAAAGGTGTACTGCACTTCAAGCAAACCCAATATTTACAAGCATAAGTCACAACACCTGGCACAATACTTCTTTGAAAACAGAATCTCTGAAACCTTCTGCTAACAATTTAAGTTATTAGTATTTGAAAGTGACACTGGCCAGGTGTGGTGGCTCATGCCTGTAATCCCAGCACTTTGGGAGGTCTCACTCTGTCACCCAGGCTAGAGTGCAGTGTGATGATGACAGCTGCACCCTTGACCTTCGGGGCTCAAGTGATCTTCCTGCCTTAGCCTCCTGAGTATCTGGGACTACAGGTACACACCACCATGCCTGGTTAATTTTTAAATTTTTTTTTTTCACTCTTGTTACCCAGGTTGGAGTGCAATGGCGCGATCTCGGCTCACCGAAACCTCCGCCTCCTGGGTTCAGGCGATTCTCCTGCCTCAGCCTCCTGAGTAGCTGGGATTACAGGCATACGCCACCATGCCCAGCTAATTTTTTAATTATTTTTTTTTTTTTTGAGACGGAGTTTCGCTCTTGTTACACAGGCTGGAGTGCAATGGCGCGATCTCGGCTCACCGCAACCTCCGCCTCCTGGGCTCAGGCAATTCTCCTGTCTCGGCCTCCTGAGTAGCTGGGATTACAGGCACGCGCCACCATGCCCAGCTACTTTTTTGTATTTTTAGTAGAGACGGGGTTTCACTATGTTGACCAGGATGGTCTCAATCTCTTGACCTCGTGATCCACCCGCCTCAGCCTCCCAAAGTGCTGGGATTACAGGCGTGAGCCACCGCGCCCGGCCTAATATTTTTTTTTTTAGTAGAGACGGGGTTTCACCATGTTGACCAGGATGGTCTCGATCTTTTGACCTCGTGATCCACCCGCCTCAGCCTCCCAAAGTGCTGGGATTACAGGCTTGAGCCACCGCGCCCCGCGCAAATTTTTAAATCTTTTGTAGAGATGACATCTCACTGTGTTACCCAGGCTAGTCTTGAACTCCTGGGCTCAAACAATCCTCCTGCCTCAGCTTCCCAAAATGCTAGAGTTACAGGTATAAGCCACCATGCCAGGCCCCTAGTGGTGGTTGTAAAACATGTCTATAAATTCCTTCACCCTCCTGCTATCAAGAGATGGAGTCTGTTCCCTCCTGCTGAAGCTGGACAGGTCTGACTGCCTCAAAGAACAGAATTCACCAAGAGTGATGCTGAAGACTGGGTTACAAAAGGCCATGAAGTTTTCTGCCAGGTGCTCATGGGATGCTAGTTCTGGTAGCCTTTAGCTGTCATGTAAGAAGTCTGGTTACCCTGGGACTGCTAAAGCATAAAACCATATGGAAAGACGGTGGACGGAGAGGATCGGAGGGGCACGATTAGGGAATGTGTAGGGGAATGGGAGGGTGGAGGAATGGAGGGAGACACCTACAGAATCCTAGCTTTTTCAGTGTTCTTAGACCAGGCATCAGACATGGAAGACATATGAAGCCTTCCATTATGGGTTACTTAAATTGTGTCCCTCAAAAAGATACGTTGCAGTCTTAACCTTAAGTACCTCCAGAATATGATCTTATTTGGAAACAGGATGTTACAGATGAAATTGGTTAAAATGAGATCATATTGGAGGAGGATTAGCCCTTAATCCAATATGACTGGTGTTCTATGAGAAGAAGAGAAGAGACACAGAGATAGAGACACACAGGAAAAAGGACATGTGAAGAACAAAGCAGAGCCTGGAGTTCTGCAGCCACAAGCAATGGAAAACCAAGGATTGGCAGCTACCACCAGAGGCTGGGAGGAGGCAAGAATAGATTCTTCCCTAGGGGCAGCAGAGGGAAAATGACCCTGCTGACACTTAAGATTTCAGATTTCTGGTCTCAGAACTGTAAAAGAAAATTTGTTGTTGTTTTAAGCTGCCATGTTTATGGTACTTTGTTGAGGTAACCCTAGGAAACTAGTATGCCTTCCTTCAAGACAATCTCAGGCCCAGCCACTGCCTAACATAGTAAAACTAGCTGAGCCCAGTCCACCCCTAGATTCATGACTAACAACTGTTATTGTGCTAAGCCACTGTTTTGGGGTGGTCTACTACGCATTGATGGATAACTGGAATATCTGTCCTTTTCTCTATCTACCAGCAATATTAACCAAAGTGTGTTACTTTACCTAGACTACCAATGTCTCCCCAAGGCAATAGCTTCTTGACACTGTGAAGGAAGCCTTTCAATAATTATTCATGGGCTAATTTGCACCAAACCCCTTAATATTGTCTGTCTCATTCATTTGGCCTGACTGTCTCTATAAGTATAGACTGGGCCAGGCATAGTGGCTCATGACTGTAGTAATCCTAGCACTATGGGAGGCCAAAGCAGGTGAATCACCTGAGGCCAGGAGTTCGAGACCAGCATGACTCAACATGATGAAACTCCATCTCTACTGAAAATACAAAAATTAGCCAGGTGTGGTGGTATAGGTCTGCAGTCCCAGCTACTTGGGAGGCTGAGATAGGAGAATCACTTGAACCTGGAAGGCAGAGGTTGCTGAGATGGTGCCATTGCACTCCAGCCTGGGTGACAAGGCAAGACTCATCTCAAAAAATAAAAAAATAGCTGGGCGCAATGGCTCATGCCTGTAATCCCAGCACTTTAGGAGGCTGAGGCAGGTGGATCACGAGGTCAGGAATTCGAGACCAGCCTGGCCTATATGGCAAAACCCTGTCTCTACTAAAAATACAAAAATTAGCCTGGTGCATTGGCAGGTGCCTGTAGTCCCAGCTACTCAGGAAGCTGAAGTAGGAGACTCGCTTGAACCCAGGAGGCAGAGGTTGCAGTGAGCTGAGATCGCGTCACTGAACTCTAGTCTGGGTGACAGAGCAAGACTCCGTCTCAAAATACATAAATAAATAAACAAACAAAATTTTAAAAATTAAAATTATTGTAATCACAGCACTTTGGGAGGCCAAGGTGGGCGGATCACGAGGTCAAGAGATCAAGACCATCCTTGCCAACATGGTGAAACTCCATGTCTATTAAAAATACAAAAAAATTAGCCGGGTGTAGTGGCACACATCTGTGGTCCCAGCTACTCAGGAGACTGAGGCAGAAGAATTACTTGAACCCAGGAGGCAGAGGTTGCAGTGAGCTGAGATTGCGCCACTGCATGCCAGCCTGGTGACAAAGCAAGACTCTGTCCCAAAAAAAAAATAATAACTAAAATTAAGGCCAGGTGCGGTGGCTCATGCCTGTAATCCCAGCACTCTGGGAGGCCAAGGTGGATGGATCACGAGGTCAAGAGATGGAGACCATCCTGGTCAACATGGTGAAACCCCGTCTCTACTCAAAATACAAAAAAATCAGCTGGGCATGGTGGCGCGTGCCTGTAATCCCAGCTACTCAGGAGGCTGAGGCAGGAGAATTGCCTGAATCCAAGAGGCGGAGGTTGTGGTGAGCCGAGATCATGCCACTGCACTCCAGCCTGGGTAACAAGAGCAAAACTCCATCTCAAAAAAAAAAAAAAAGAAATAATAATAATAATTAAAATTATATATATATATATATATATATATATATACACACACACACACACACACACACACACACACACATACATATACTGATATCTTTCTTTTGATCACACTGTAACCAATGCAGAGGGCTGCTTATTCATTTCCAAGTGATTATGGTTATCACTATTAGCTAAGTATCTCCCAGAAAAACCCAAACTCAAATTTAGTGTCTGTTAAGAATATAAAGTTGTATGTATATTATAATTATCAGCTTGGGGAAAAATGCATAAACAGGCTAAAAACTGTAAGGAAACACTGAGGAACAGTTTTATTTGAATGGTAGAGACATAACAGTACCTATACTTACCAGGTCCTACTTTGTCCAGGACCCGTGCCAGTCACTTTACAGACATAGTCTATGATTATCAGATTTATCCTGTAAGGAGGAAACTGTGATCCTCACTTTACAAATGAAGAAACAGAGTCTAAGAGAAACCAGGTAGGGAAAATAGGCTGATACAGCTGGAAAGTGGCAGAATCTGGTTTCAAATCCATGCCTGCGCTCACTCTCCCTACCATGGATGGATTTTTATTTTCTATTTAGTGCTGTTATTGAATTAATACATAAATCCCAGTGCCCAAAAGTCTGATTCTGGCATGAAGGTTCCTCTGACTACACTTTGCCTGGCAGTCCTGAAGCAGCAGTTGAATACATATTTCAGGGAGAAACAAGACCACCTACCTAAATGTAGCTGGACATCTTTCACCTCCAGAGTGCTGGACTTGCGATGCCGTGCAAGCTGACAGGCTGCTGTCACCACACTCTCGATAAAATCATCGGCAATCTGCAGCAGCATCTGGGGAAGGTAAAGTGGGGAGAGTCACCACGACATTGGCAAATAAGCTTCTGGTGGTGGGACAACTGCTTTCTGCTTAGGTTACATATCTAGTCAGGATTTCTAGTAGAAGACTGGAATCAGCATTTGGGCTAAGGTGGGGAAGAGGAATGAGAAGGACAAAAGAAAAGCATTACCTAAGTTGAGTGCAACTCACACCTTTCTGAGCATATACTTTCTTTTTTTGTTGAGATGGAATCTCACTCTTGTTGCCCAGGCTGGAATGCAATGGCATGATCTTGGTTTTCTGCAACCTCTGCCTCCTGGGTTCAAGCAATTCTCTTGCCTCAGCCTCCCAAGTAGCTGGGATTACAGGCGCCCGCCACCACGCCCAGCTATTTTTTATTTTTAGAGAAGGGGTTTCACCATGTTGGCTAGGCTGGTCTGGCCAGAGTAGCCTGGTGGTAACCTCCACAGTAGCTGGGATTACAGGTGCCCGCCACCACACCCAGCTAATTTTTGTATTTTTAGAGATGGGGTTTCACCGTGTTGGCCAGGCTGGTCTTAAACTCCTGACCTCAGGTGATCCGCCTATCTCAGCCTCCCAAAGTGCTGGGATTACAGACTTGAGCCACAGTGCCCGGCCTGGGCATATACTTTCTACCTGGCAGTGAGCAACTATCCCAATCCCTACCTTTCATATCTTAATTAGTGGGAAAATAAAAGTGAATCATTTGAATTCCTCACTCACAGTCTCTTAAAAGCACTTTTTTCCCCATTATCTCACTTAGTCCTTGTAATAATCCTGTGAAGAAAATCGGACATGGATTTTATTCATTCTATAGAAAATTTTAGAGACTCAGAGAGACTAATGTGTTCATGGCCATGTAAGGAGAAAGCAGAAGGCGAGGTGCAGTGGCGCATGCCTGTAATCCCAGCACTTTGGGAGGCCGAGTTGGAAGGATCATTTGAGGTCAGAAGTTTGAGACCGCCGGGCGCGGTGGCTCAAGCCTGTAATCCCAGCACTTTGGGAGGCCAAGGCGGGTGGATCACGAGGTCAAGAGATCGAGACCATCCTGGTCAACATGGTGAAACCCCGTCTCTACTAAAAATACAAAAAAAAATTAGCTGGGCATGGTGGCGTGTGCCTGTAATCCCAGCTACTCAGGAGGCTGGGGCAGGAGAATTGCCTGAACCCAGGAGGCGGAGGTTGCGGTGAGCCGAGATCACGCCATTGCACTCCAGCCTGGGTAACAAGAGCGAAAACTCCGTCTCAAAAAAAAAAAAAAAAAAAAAAAGAAGTTTGAGACCAGCCCAACAATACTGACAGACCCTCATCTGTATTCAAAAATAAATAAATTGAGAGTGGACATGGTGGCTCACACCCGTAATCCCAGAACTTTGGGAGGCTGATGTGGGCAGATCATTTGAGGTCAGAAATTTGAGACCAGCCTGACTAACATGGGGAAACCCAGTCTCTAAGGGTCAGGTGCGGTGGCTCACTCCTGTAATCCCAGCTCTTTGGAAGGTCAAGGCAAGTGGATCACCTGAGGTCAGGAGTTTGAGACCAGCCTGACTAACATAGTGAAACTCTGTTTCTACCAAAAATACAAAATTAACTGGGCATGGTGGCGGGCACCTGTAATCCCAGCTACTCTGGAGGTTGGGGCAGGAGAATCTCTCGAATCCAGGATGCAGGGGTTGCAGTGAGCCAAGATGGTACCATGGCACTCCAGTCTGGGCGACAAAAGTGAAACTCCATCTCAAAAAAAAAAAAAAAAAGCCAGACATTGTGGCTCATGCCTGTAATCCCAGCTACTTGGGAGGCTGAGACAAGAGAATTGTTTAAACCTGGGAGTCTGAGGTTGCAGTGAGCCAAGACTGCACCATTGCACTCCAGGCTGGGTGACAGAGCGGGACTCTGTCTCAAAATAATAATAATAATAAAAATAATAGCCAGGCGCGGTGGCTCAAGCCTGTAATCCCAGCACTTTGGGAGGCCAAAGCGGGTGGATCACGAGGTCAAGAGATTGAGACCATCCTGGCCAACATGATGAAACCCCGTGTCTACTAAAAAATACAAAAATTAGCCGGGTGTGGTGGCGCATGCCTGTAATCCCAGCTACTCAGGAGGCTGAGGCAGGAGAATTGCTTGAACCCAGGAGGCGGAGGTTGCGGTGAGCCGAGATCGCGCCATTGCACTCCAGCCTGGGTAACAAGAGTGAAACTCCGTCTCAAAAAATAAATAAATAAATAAATAAATAATAATAAATAAGTTGATTAATTAATTAAAAAGAAAGAAACGAGGCTGGGCGCGGTGGCTCAAGCCTGTAATCCCAGCACTTTGGGAGGCCGAGGCGGGTGGATCACGAGGTTAAGAGATCGAGACCATCCTGGTCAACACGGTGAAACCCCGTCTCTACTAAAAACACAAAAAACTAGCTGGGCATGGTGGCGCGTGCCTGTAAGCCCAGCTACTCAGGAGGCTGAGGCAGGAGAATTGCCTGAACCCAGGAGGCGGAGGTTGCGGTGAGCCGAGATCACGCCATTGCACTCCAGCCTGAGTAACAAGAGCGAAACTCCGTCTCAAAAAAAAAAAAAAAAAAGGGCCGGGCGCGGTGGCTCACGCCTGTAATCCCAGCACTTTGGGAGGCCGAGGCGGGTGGATCACGAGGTCAGGAGATCGAGACCATCCTGGTCAACATGGTGAAACCCCGTCTCTACTAAAAATGCAAAAAATCAGCTGGGTATGGTGGCGCGTGCCTGTAATCCCAGCTACTCGGGAGGCTGAGGCAGGAGAATTGCCTGAACCCAGGAGGCGGAGGTTGCGGTGAGCCGAGATCGCGCCATTGCACTCCAGCCTGGGTAACAAGAGCGAAACTCCGTCTCAAAAAAAAAAAAAAAGAAAAAGAAAGAAACGAGAGGAACCAGGATTCCACCTAAAGGGTTCTGAGTCTAAATCCTGAGTTCTTTCCACATCACTATCAATTATTATTGGACTGTATGAAGAGAAGGATGAGAATTCTGAAGATAATCATCTACATGAGGCCAGGCGCAATGGCTCACTCCTATAATCCCAGCACTTTGGGAGGTTGAGGCAGATGGTTTGCTTCAGCTCTGGAGTTCAAGATTAGCCTGGGCAACACAGATGGCAAAATCCTGTCTCTACAAAAAATACAGAAAGTAGCTGAGTTTGGAGGCATGCACTTGTAGTCCCAGCTACTTGGGAGTCTGAAGTGGGAGGCTTGCTTGAGTCCAGTTAATCAAGATTGCAGTGAGCTGTGATTGTGGCACAGCACTCCAGCCTGGGTGACAAGAGACTTTGTCTCAAAAATAAATGAATAAATAAATACATGAAAATAACTGAGATTACTTATTTATCTATTTATTTATTTGTTTATTTTGAGACAGAGTTTCGCTCTTGTTACCCAGGCTGGAGTGCAATGGCACGATCTCGGCTCACCGCAACCTCTGCCTCCTGGGTTCAGGCAATTCTCCTGCCTCAGCCTCCTGAGTAGCTGGGATTACAGGCACGCGCTGCCACGCCCAGCTAATTTTTTGTATTTTTAGTAGAGATGGGGTTTCACCATGTTGACCAGGATGGTCTCGATCTCTTGACCTCGTGATCCACCTGCCTCGGCCTCCCAAAGTGCTGGGATTACAGGCTTGAGCCACCGCGCCCGGCCTATTTATTTATTTTTGAGACACAGTCTCACTCTGTTGCCTAGGCTGGAGTGCAGTAGCGTAATCTTGGCTCACTGAAACCTCTGCTTCCTGGGTTCAGGCAATTCTGCTGCCTTAGCCTCCCAAGTAGCTGGGGTTACAGGCACACACCACCACGCCTGTCTAATTTTTATATTTTTAGTAAAGATGGGGTTTCACCATGTTGGTCAGGTTGGCCTCTAACTCCTGACCTCGTGATCCGCCCATCTTGGCCTCCCCAAGTGGTGGGATTACAGGTGTGAGCCACCGCGCCTGGCAAAACTGACACTTTTATCAGTCAATATATTTCCTGTGGCTTCTTCTGGTGACAAACAAAAACAAACTAAAATTACAACCATAGACACAAAATTCCTTATTCTGGTCATTAATTCATTGTCATCTTTACTGTGGGAACCAAACAGATACCATCTAAGGGAAAGACTTCTGATTAAACCACAGATCAACTCCAAAAATTACTGCCTATCCCTCCCTCACTGCATTAAAATAACAAAAAACAAACAAACAAAAAACACCATATTGCCAGGTATGGTAGCCTCATGCCTGTAATCCCAGCATTCTGGGAGGCCAAAGCGAGTGGATCACCTGAGGTCAGGAATTTGAGACAAGCCTGACCAATATGATGAAACCCCCTCTTTACTAAAATTACAAAAATTAGCCAGGCATGGTGGTGTGTGCCTCTAGTCCCAGCTACTTGGGAGGCTGAGGCAGGAGAATCGCTTGAACCTGAGAGGCAGAGGTTGCAGTGAGCAAAGATCATACCACTGAACTCCAGCCTGGGCGATAGAGTGAGACTCCATTTCGAAATAAATAAAATAAAATAAAATAAAATAAAATATTAATCCACAAAGACATCAGCAACAGAAGAAAAAATCTTAATGGGCAAGAATTTCCCATAAACTTTTTTTTCCTGAGCTGTACCATAGAAAAGAACCAATAACTTTTTTTTTGCTTTTGAAACAGGGTGTCCCTCTATTGCCCAGGTTGGAGTACAGTGGCCCAGTCATGGCTCACCGTAGTCCTCCCATCTCAGCTTGGGCGCAAGCAGTCCTCCCATCTCAGCTTCCCAAGTAGCTGAGACTACAGGTATGTATCATCAGGTCTAGCTAATTTTTAAAATTTGTATAGAGGGCTGGGCGCGGTGGCTCACGCCTGTAATCCCAGCACTTTGGGAGGCCGAGGCGGGTGGATCACGAGCTCAAGAGATCGAGACTATCCTGGTCAACATGGTGAAACCCCGTCTCTACTAAAAATACAAAAAAATTAGCTGGGCATGGTCGTGACTGCCTGTAATACCAGCT